CCGAAGGGGTAGGCCAGCACCCAGATATGCTAGGTAGTATATGACTTATGTGTTTATGCTATGCTTTTATGTGGTACTGTTAGGGGGTGAAATAGTCCTCGGTTACCGGTTGAAAGATACCGAAGGGGAGGCCAGCACCCAAATATGGTAGGCAGTATCCGGTCGAGAGGATCGAAGGGGGGGCCCAGCACCCAGGTATGCTAGGCAGGATCCAGTCGAGAGGACCGAAGGGGAGGCTAGCACCCAGATATGCTAGGCAGTATCCGGTCGAGAGGACCGAAGGGGTAGGTCGGGCACCCAGATATGCCTGACAGTATATGTATGTTATATGATCGTATGGTATGTGGTATGATGGGGGAACTCACTAAGCTTTGTGCTTACAGTTTACAGTTTTGGTTTCAGGTACTCATTTTCAAAGGAAAGGAGTCTGCTTGATCGCAGCGCATCAAACTATGTTTTCCTCACATGAGATCTTTGGGATTACACTCTGATATGGTTTTATGATAATATGTTTTGATTATTGACACTTTGGTTTTGACATGAGATATTAATATGAATGTTTTTTTATACTGATGGTTTTATATAATAATGTATTTAAAAATGAAATTTTTGGCCTTGAATTTTGGGATGTTACAAGTTGGTATCAGAACCTTGGTTTGAGGGATTCGGGCACGTTCTTGGGTGTGTCTGAACTCAAACTAAGGACTTGGTATGAAAATTTTCAAAAGTAAAATCGTTTTATAAAAGAAGTTTGAAAAGAATCTGAAAAGAGAAAAGAACTTTAAGAAGAACAAAGTGTGTGATGCGTGCAATCAGCCGAGCTCAAGTAAGTTTTTCCCCAAGATACCTATACATGTGATGTTATGATATGATATGATTATGAGAATTGCATGCTAGATTAGGGTTGAGGATCTAGGAGGATGCCTTATATGCCTATTGTATGTGCTTGTAGACTTGCATGTTAGTACTGATGAGTCAGTAATAGGATAGCCTGTTTAGGTTATGCCTGATTGTATAAGCCTTTGGGTTACATGTACAGATTGTTGATTAGGGGATATAATGATTTGATTGGAATATGATGGTTAGATTTTCCATTGTCTCAATGCTGCTTGCTTTGTGCTTTGTGGGACCCTTAGTAATGTGAGTTAGCTAATAAGTGAATATGCTAAGTCACATGTGGCACAGGCTGGATAATCTCAGAGTGATAGATTTGAACCTATTGCGCAGCTCTCGTTTGAGTCTAACCGTTATAGGGATGAGTCTGTTACTTGAAGGATTATCCGATCTCTGTTGCATGTGGCTATATTCATGAGGTAGCTAGTTGACATTACTGGGAATCTTTCAGCAGCTGAGGACTAGGTGAATTCGGGAACCTAGGGAAGCCTAGGATATATTTCAGTGTGTTAGTAGTGAGGCTCAGTTAGACTTGGGTGTACCAGTTGAGGAAGTGACTTGGAGGATCCGGGAGGATTGTTGAGGAAAGTATGGATAGGTGTGGAAGGTAGTATTGGGCCCGTACTACTGAAAGCACAAGATTCATACTCGAATCGGTGAGAGACTTGGAGAATCTGAGAAGCTTCGGGCAAGAGTTTGTGACCCGGTTTGGGGACAGAGGATGTTCTAGTATAGCCATTGGCAAGTGAGTTAGTGAGCGTGGCAGGGTGTCAGACCCTGAGGGATATGATTTCCATGAAGTTGCAGATGCGTGATCAATTTGGAGCACATTGAGAAGAGAGGTTCATGCTAGGTGCGTATAGTAGGGGTCTCGGGAAGAGACCCATGATTTCTGATCATCAGGTGAAGGGCAAACAGGGCCTGAGTCAGTGCAGCACGTACAAGAAAAGTACACGAGGGAGTTTGTCACTCCAAGGGTTTAGGTTGCTGCAAATGTGGCAGGGTTGATCATGTCAGCTGGAGGTGATTAGGATTCCTCCAGATTTTGCGGGTATACCATCTTCTACTACTATTAGATGGATGTTTGGAATACGTATCGCTTTAGGATTGCGAGTGAGTTTGGATAAGTTAGATCTCGGGTCGATTTTCTGCTAGTGTTAGGTTATCAAGGATCATATATGCCACATGCATGCCGAACAGTCCTTGATGAACCCACACAGGGAGGCATCTTGCGGAGTGGGTTCCGTGTGTACCGTTAGGGATCTATGCAGGAGTCTTATTTTGAGGATACTCGGTTAGGGTTGGAGTGATAGTTCTCCAGTGAAGTCAATGTTCAGGGATTCTACCATTGTGCAGGTATGGTCGGTGATTGTTTATGGATGAACTTTGGAGTTCAAGGCACTACCGTTGCTAGGACAGAACTGGTGACAGGAAGAGGGTAGTGTCAGTCGCGGGTGTTAGATGCATAAGTGGTTGGTCATTTGATGTTCAAGAGAATTGTGTTTTCGCATGGGCTGTGTTCGGTTAGAGTTCAGTGGTACTATAAGATTGGGAGTGGGAACGAGGATTTGTCAGTTAGAGTGAAGATTAAGGTCTTCAATTGACAGCATGTTAGATGGATTGAGGTGTCAGACTGCATCAGATTTCAAGAGTACTCATCGAGATTTTCGAGGATGAGAGATCTCAAGGTTTAATCGGCGAGTAAACGCTAGCATTGGTAGGCACAGTTTGTCATCGGTGGGATATTAGAAAGCGAGAAGGATTGGGAACCCTTCAATTCTCAAGTAATGTCAAGACTTAGTCGAATCTAAGTGGGGGAGAGACTTTTTATAAAGTTCTCCAACTGTGAGTTCTGGTTGCGCAAGGTGCAATCTCTTGGCCGCGTTGTCAACCAGAAGGGTATTCTAGTTGTTTCGGACAAGATAGAGGCCGTGATGCAGTGGGAAATTCCGAGGTCTCCATATGAGATTTGGAATTCCCTGGGTATAGCGGGTTATTACCGGAGATTTATACGGGACTTCTCCGAGATTGAGGTTCCTTTGAACCAACTGACCAAGAAGTCGGTGGCCTTTCGTTAGGGGCCGTGGCAGCAGGCAGCCTTCGAGGCTCTCAGACAACAATTGTACGAGGCACTGATTCTCACCCTGCAAGAGGGTGTAGATGATTTCATGGTTTACTGTGACGTTTTGATCATGGGCATGGGTACGGTACTGATACAGTGGGGTCACATGATAGTAGGTTTCGGGAACCAAGTCAGAGTTCCGGTTATGTCACACCCCAAAACCAAGAACGGCGGAAACGTTCAGTGGTGGAGGACGTCTTGTGAAGTATCATAACAGTGTAAAGTAGTAAGCAAGCAACAACATCATCCACTGAATTAAAAGTAAAGTTTTAATACATGTGTGTTCTTTCATTGTAATAAAACACCAACATATGTAATCAAAATAAAAGACAAGTCTTGTCTGTGCTCCGTCTTCTCAAAACCTGGTCATCATACCTGTCTATTGGTGACCTGAGAATACAAGTTATTTTGAAAGAGAAGATCAGCATAAAGCTGGTGAATTCATAACTATTTAAGTGTCATTACTCTGTTTTGGAAAGCTGTTATGAATGCCATGTAAAGTTTTGATTGAAACATTTGATATAAGTGTGAAAACCCTAGAAACTACTAGTATAAAAGTAGTCTTCTACCAAGACCGGAATGTTTTGAAAGTAGTCTTCTACCAAGACTTGAATGTTTTGCTGTAACAAAGATGGTTTTTCCCCTGCATGACTACTATTAACAATATATAGTCTACCTCATCGTTTATGTGAACGTATCACAAAATAAAAGTAATAGGGAAAATATAGCCATATAAGTATTATCCTTTTGTATTAGGGTAAACACGACATCGCGACTGCCGAAAAGTATTAACATTGAACCTCTGTAGATGTTCATTTTCCTCTATAGCTAACAGCAGATCGTAGGAATGGTTAGTCCCGTAAAGGTACCTCTAGTATAAGTATTAACCGTAGGCATTCATAGATGTTCATTACCTCTGTTACTAACAGGTGGGTGCCGGAATGGTTAGTCCCGTATAGTATCCTTTTGTTCTAGGATAGATAGAACTAATCTACACGTATAGTATGTAATAGTATCTCATCATGTAGTATGTAGGTACAAGTATCCATGTAAGTGTATCTCTTCATATAGCATTTAGTATAGACTCATGAATGAACTGACTCTGGTGTGATTCCTTGTAATAGGAATAATGTTTTGTATCCCCTAAACTATCCCTATAATAGTTTACTGGAATGTATTTGTGATCCAAGAAGGTTTATACACCCTTGCTACTCAAGAGTGTGGGAACTGAATGAAGAATGAAAGCTATCATATCAATATATATATATATATATATATATATATATATATATATATATATATATATATATATATATGAACATAAGTGTATAGATATAGATTTGACCAAGGACATGAAAGAGGTTTTGTAAAACATTTAAGAGTTTTGAACAATAAATAACAATGACTTGATGTCATTTTATAAAACATTTCAAAAGTAATTCATTTGATAACACTACTAGAAAAACAGCCTTTTACGATGCTCATTGCGCGTCGTAAAAGGCTCAGACAACGCGCAAATGCACGTCAAGGAAGGTCCTGTCATAAAGAGAGACGACACGCATTTACGACGCTCATTTATGACGCGCAATTACGATGCGCGTTTACGACACGCAATGCGTATCAAGGAAGACCCTGTCATAAAGGAAGACGACACGCATTCGAGTGTCGTAATCTTACGACGCGCGTGTTAATGACACACAACCGTATCAAGAAAGCCCCTGTCAAGAAAGGCCATGTCATAAATGAAGATGACCCACATTTTTGTGTATCATAATTTTAAATATTAAAGAAAAATATTATTTATAGATTTATTTATTTTCAAATTAAATTTGTATTTAGTGTTTCATAATAGAAAATAAAACATCATATACAAAAAATAGAATCCATTGCATAAATTTAATGTAATATAATTCTATTTCTTACAATATATAAATTTGCATCTAATCTACTATGTACATCAATTTAATGCCATACTACATTGCTATTAAAGAACACCTTAAATCAAAATTGTAATCAGATTCGACATTTCCAACTAAAAAAAAGAACAATTAATTTCTTTCTACATAAATCTGCTCCATAAGAAAACTTAAGCATACCAAGAATCTTATAACCAGAGGCAAAACAATTTAGTGCAGCCTTTTTAAGTTCACCATCCCGTTCTACTGTTAGATTTGCAACAATTCGCAGGTTTTTTTTCTGTCCACTTATCTGCACCATAATCATGGAAAGCATGAGCAACCTTCAGCTATAAGCTTATAAGGTGTGCGAGTGTGCCACATTAATTCAAAGGACTATCATATGTAGTTATATACATCAGGGTAATGGTTATCAAGCAAAAATCCAACAAGATTAGTACACTCAATTTTTGTCTTGTTGTTTCTAGAATGCGGACCTTCCAAAATATATGGGAAAGTTATAGCAGTTGAATAGCTATGTATGATCTTCTTCATTCATTAGTATAGTCTCAAATTTCTTGCAATACATGCCTCAACAATCAGATGCCCCTTCTACATGGTGAAGCACAGGTGCATCTTCCTCCCCTGACTCCACCCGTAATTTATGTATATGTATATATTTTTTAAACATCATTTATCCTGTCAACACTTGATCATAAAAAAAGAACAAAGCCTCAATAGCTATCAATGTACTAATTAAAACCCATACATTGCTGAGAAATTGAAAAGCCTTCTCGATCCCATGACTCTCTTTGATATAAAGGAAAAGGCGTATAGTCTGCACATCATTAGAATGCATATATTAATTGGTGACTAATATATTACCAACAAAAAGAAATTAAAAAAAGAAAAAGAAAAAACTTGTTACCAAGTTTGATAGATCTTCCTTAATTGAGCTGTCTGAAGATGGCAATTCTCCACTATTTACCTCAAGTTTCTCAATCAATTTTCCCGAATATAATATCACACCAAACTTATAAAAACCGTTTTAATAAAATGTTTCATGTAGAGTTAGCTGTTCCACTTCACCTTAGTTACTAAAGAGCATATGGAGACTGATATTCTCTGAATCACATCAACAACTGCTCCGGACATGATATTCTCAACATCACATCAACATCTGGCTGTAAAATCAATGAGTGTATCAAATATTTTTTTTACAGTTTTACTTTTGAAGATCATTAAGATTTGAAGATCATAACTTTGCACCACATAAAACTAGAAGATGGAGAGAGCTAGACTCCATATCCTTAACAGCCCCACCTAAGGAGATGGAGTGATCCTTTTCATTTTGATCCCATTCATCCAAATATGGAATCTCCATTTGTCAAAAACATACAATCAGAATTAACAATAATATTTTATATTAAAAATAAGGGAAAATCAATAACAAAATGAAAGTGAAAATAAAGTGAATTGACATTCTAACTTGTTTCTTGAGGATAGAGTGTGTAACTTCAAGTCCTGATTCAGCTGTTGTATTTGAAATTGTTTTTATTATAGATATTTTTTATATGGCAATGTTGTTTTTAATCTGATTCTGATGATGAGTTGCTGAACTTGGTTTCCAGGAAGTGATTGGGAAAATAGTGAATGGAACCACTTATGCTGGACTTAGAGCAAGGACAACAGGGGCATAATCACTGGTGAGTGGAGTAAATGTTACAGTCAACACAGATATGAGCTGATTCTTAGCTTTGTAAACTGTAATCTTATTGCTAACCAGAATACACTTTAGGTTGATGCATATAACTCAAAGAATTTGTTTCATTTTATAACTGATTGGAGCCACTTATGCTGGACTTTAGGTTGATGCTAATCTTTGTGATACAGTTTTCATGAATGGTGATGTTGTTTAGTTTGCTAGAAAAGTGTCCTTCAGTCATGTATTTTTAGATAGGAGTAGTTTGGGAAATCATCAAGTAAAGAGAATCAGGGACATTAGGGTCATTTTAGGCATTTTATATTAGTTAGTTTGTTATGACAGATGGTATAAGAGGGTAGTGGGAAAGAGAATCAGCCAAACTATCTTTCATAACGAATTAACTAATATAAAATGACTAAAATGCCCCTTCCCTAATAAGATTCTCTTTATTTGATGATTTCCCAAACTACCCCTATCAAAAAATATGTGACTGAAGAGGGTGCATAACAGACTTTCTGAGTGAGAACCTATACGCGAGACTAGAAGTTTAAAGTTCATTGAACTCAATATGGTGACAAAACAAGTACCTTTGGAACCTAATTTTTAAGACTTCAATAAAAAAATTGATAATTTAAGGAGTACCAGTGGTTTTCTTAAAGAGGCTAAAACCAAAACCACGCTTCGTGGGCTGCAATAAAAAATTGATAATTTAAGAACTGAAAATAATGTGACAAGATTTATAAATCTGTCAGAAAACTCATTTTTAGAAGCTTTTATAGTGATTTACAGGTGCTTTTGGAGGCTTCTCTAAATCTGCGATGTTCCCATCCATGTCCACAGAGGTATCCCGTGTATGACGATTTTTCCCTCCACCTTTTCGCAAGATATCTTTTGAGGTCTAATTCGGTTCAAGAAACAAGAACATAAATTAGTTTAAAAAACTGAAAACAGAGAAAGATTTGTGGACTACAAAAGTGTAGAAATATAATACTGAGAAGCACAAACCAGATTGGAGACAAAAGATGATAACTGTTGTGGTGGATGCTTCCACCCCCATTGCACTCGTGGGCTTGAAACAATCAATATTGCACAACACTGTCGCCTTCATTGTACCTCCAAATCTGCCATAATCATCTGCTTTTCAACAACATATAGTGCTAATAATCAACAAATGAAGTAAACAAATAAACTAATAAACAAATAAACTAATAAACGAATCGGTCTTGAGTTTTTTGTACTTGTGCTCGGCCTTCATTGACTTTTTGACTCTTGAGCAAGTAGGTTGTTAAATATGGTTTGGTCAACTTCAGTCATATTGGACTTGCCCTTGATCCCTACACTTAAAAATCAAAGTCAACGTTCTCATTTTTTTTTCTTTTACACAAATCAAGATGATTTGTACCAGGTAAATAAAAAGCTAAGTGTTGTAGATTCTTCCAGAACATTAATGATTAATATATATATATAGATTAAGATACAGAAAGCATTTGAACCTGATTTTGTGCAGTTGTAATAGTAGTCCAATGTTGTGGTCGTGTTGTAGTAGTTGAATAGTCACTTACAAAAGCAAGTGTTCTAGATTCTTCTGGAACATTAACCACAACCGAAGGTGGCAATTCTCTCATTACCCATAACACAAAACCTAAAGGTACGGATGAACCTGGACAAACATGGTATGATGAAACTATGGATTAGGGTCAAATATCCAAAAAAATAGCAATGTACTTTCATTAATTTGTTTATTATTACAAAATTCCACCCAATTTAGCAATGTCATCCAAATACAAAGCGATTAATTTCAGAAAACAAAAAGTAGAAGAAAAAATGGTGATTTATTTATTTAATATAATTTAGTTTACCTATGAAGTAGTAGACAATAAGTAAAAGAGAGGCATAGAGTCCTCCAATTCCCCGCCACTCACAATGATACAGAACCTGTGAAAATGAATGAATGCATTAAATTAAGATCTTGAGGAAAATGACTGAATGAATTAAGCACAAAAATACATACGGGTATATTTGTAAATATAGCAACGACTGAACTTGAAGTGAAACAAACAACAGAAACTATAGCAAGTCCAGCAACCTGAAAAACAGAAACAAAATTGTTTGGTAGTATAGTAATGAAAGACCTAATTACACTTTTGGTCCCTCTGTGTAATTGTAATATCGTCTTTTTATTTTATTTTTTTTGCATTTTTATTCCCTATATACGTTTTAGGTCTGTGACTTGCACAATGTTTAGAAATGGGTGTTTCATTGATTTATTTAATTTAGCATCATAAGTGGAAAGATAATCTCAAACAGAACAACATCAAGTCTTGATTGGAGCAGATTGTACATTGTAGTCTTGGAAAGACTGATGGACAAAAGTTGATGATTTCAAAAGGAATATGATAAGAGGCAGGTCACTCAATTTCTGAAAGCTAGAAACAAAATTAAATTAAAGAAACATTGGAATGATGTAAGTGTGAATGACTACTCATCGGGTATAGAGGCGGGTCACTCAATTTCTTGGCCTATGTGAAAGATAATCTAGACACAAAAATAAATAAAAAATTGAAAACCACTGTCTATTTACCACTTCAACATCATAAATATGAAGAAAGTTCAAAGTGTTACCTGGCCGGATAACCAAGAGGCAGCTTTGGGGAGACAGATGCAAGTGCAGCCTAAATTGTAAGTAGGCTAATCACCTGTCTATTATAATGTTATTACGTATGATTTATGAAGTACATAGCAGATCAATTCTTGATGTTTCAGTTTAAAACATCAGATCAGATGTTTGACTGCTTAAAAGGCACAACAATCAACAAACGTCCATGTAAGCTCACAATTGTTGATATACAAAGCAGATCAATTCTTGATGGTAGGCTAATCACCTGTTTATTATTATAAGTCAAAAGTCAAACACAATAACTTTCACATAACACAAACATAGAGAGTCATTTATTTATACATTATAATCAACATACCTTTTTGAAAGCAACAATGCCCCACGGGTTGTCAAGTTGCTCGGGTTGACCCACTCGTGATGACTAGACGTCCAGCTGGATCAGATTGGACTCGTACCTAAAAGTCATTGAGGGCAAATCAGTCATTTTAGCTGAAAATAAAGCTTGAGCATTTAGAATCAACATATATATTTACACACCTCTTCCCGTAGAAGCCATACACTTCAAAGCAATCTTTCTGTACATAACACATAAAGTAAATATAAGTCGAATGTGTGTTAATAATTTTTATAAATGTCAATGGTGTGATGTGACAATACACTTACGGTTTCCCGCACATTTATTTTCACCCAATTAGCAGGGGGCCCACGCTGGCAACCGTGGTAACAACTCTATCACATTTCAAAACAAGCAGATGTATTTATAAACAGTTAAATATTAAATATTATATGATAATTAAAAGAAAGTAACAGATATTAGCAATTAAAAACTTGATTCTTAACTGCCTAGATGTTTCCGTTCGTACAGCTTTCACTGGATGCTGCACTTCACTTGGTCTTTTTTGTTTAAGTGACCCTATAAGTCAAGGATTATGCAATTAATATTAACAAATACATTTTGGTGTTCTTAATGTTAAAACTAAAACATTCATAACAATTCTCACCATTAATGATTTTCAGACTTTTTTCGCGCTTTTGTGAATTGTTAGAATTCTTTTCCTAACAAAAACAAAGTCGATATAAATGGTAAAAAGAAAAAAACATCTAATGTTCTCTCTAAGTTTTGTTAAGCTAATATAACCTAGACTCCATCCAGATGCTCTTCTATGCGTCATTAAGGGTTCAGACTCTTGGAAATGGATAAGTTGTTGAAGAAAGTTGAAAAAAATATGGATCACTTCCCGAGGCATTGAAAAAAAATGTGAATCTTAAAACAACTATATTGAAGGGTGTTTGTAACTAAAATCTACAATCACAATTGAAAAAAAATATGAATCACAATTGTAACTAAATGTGATCGACCTCAAAATACAATTATATTGAAGGGTATTTGACCATTTCAAATACGATCACAATTGAAAAAAAATATGAATCTTAAAATAACTAGGTTGGATCAAGGGATTGCTTACTTGTGGACGACATGAATAACCTCCATCAATGATTGAACTCATTCGATCCATTTAAAAGCCTACCCTTTACCAAATCGATTGAAGACGTCATATTGAAGGGTGTTTGTAACTGAAATCTACGAGATTGATGATTTTAGTAAGCTAAGTAAACAGATGATGGAGTGTTGACATGGGGAAATATGGATTCGAGCCCTAGAAGCTAAGAAGTAAATGCATCTATGAAGCGGGGTACTTGCAATCGATTTGTTGGATGTGTTGGTCCGATTTTTAAGAAGATTTTGTGTAGTCCGGAGAAAAGCGCTAGTTCTTCCAAAGTTTGGGAGGATGGATCAATGTAACGGGGCTTAGGTCGCCGACAAGGAGAAGCGAGCATGAGATCACTAGACCTGAGGTTGCCGACATGGTGAGGTTGTTGGCAAGGTGATGTAGCCGACAAGGTGAGGCGAGGTGATCATGTGAGATTGTCGATCGTTGTAGAGGCAGAGCACCGAGAACGGTCATCTTTCATCAGAAGTCGACAGCGGTGGGAGACACTAGGAAGGGTCGAATAAGCAGCAGATGGCGGAAGGTGAATCGAGGTTTGAGAAACGAGAGAGAAGAAAGAAAGAAAGAAAGAAAGAAAGAAAGGGGGTTTCAGCGGGGATGAGCTAGGATTTTCAGCTGGTGGAAACAAAGCGGGCTTTTTAATTTTTGGATTTCATTTCCCCCTCGGATGAAACGCGCGTTTCATTAAAATTTATAAAGCGACATGGTGAGACGACACATTTTATTTAAGGTGCCCTCCGTGTTTTTTTTTATTAGACACTAATTTTAGGGCACACAAAAATGCGTGTTCTCTATGCTTAATATTTTGGAAAACTGACATCAAATTTTAGGGCACGTACAAATGCGTGTCCTCTATCAGCGCGTGTCATTGATTTCACGTCGTAAAATGCTATTTTTTTCGTAGTGGAATAAAATATTTTAAGACAGAAATGTTGGAATAGTGTCTAAGGCTACAACTATATTTGGCAAGTATTTGACCCGGTTGTGCATGGTCCTTTTGGGTTGCCTTCACCATAGCAACTTGACAGGATGATTTATAATGAGAGAAGGAATATTATTATTATATTATAAGTATAATATAAGGAACAATAATATTATTGTTTGATTGATATAAGTCATAAATTAATTAGGAATTAATTTGGTGACTTAAAGAGATTAATTAAACATAGGGGTATAAACTGTCAATTGTTTGATAGTTACACTTTGGGCTGTAAATCCTCTAAAGTTAAGGGGTGGACGAATTCTAGGGCTTAGGATAGCCATAAATTCGTCCAAGGGCTTATCTTGAAAGGGATTTGGATTTCTTTGAGTAATAGTTATCCAGCTAGGGTTTTAGAGTGAAACTCTAGGAGCCTTACAAGTATAAATAGACCCCATGGGCAAGGGAAATCGGCACTTGTGCTATTGGAAGGTTACCCTGGCCAATTTCTTCCCTCTCCTCTCTCACATATCATCCTCTTGCTATTTGGTGTTTGTAAGCCATTAGAGGAGTGACATTTGTGACTATAAAGCTCCAAGAACAAGAAGATCAAACAAGTGTTTTGAGGTAAGCTTCTAACTCTGGTTTTGTATTGTTCTTATACTCAATTAGCCATTAGAAGTCTTGGATTCAATGTATGTTCAATTAGAGAAACCTAGATCCAAGAATTAGGGTTTGCATGTGCACATAGGAATGTTCATATGGCCAAAACCCATCAGTGGTATCAGAGCCTTGTCTGGTTTCTATTGAATTGATACTTTGATTGCTTGTTTGTTGCTGAAAAATTCGTTTTTCTGTTCTTTGCCTTCTCTACTCGGTGAGTCCCATGGTGGTACTCGGCGAGTAGGCTTATCTCGGTGAGTCCATCTGGGTACTCGGCGAGTTCAAGCATCAGAATGTGATGACTTCGGGATTTCTTGCTGTTTATCTTATGGAAACTTACCTTTTTCATATTAGATCAACCCTAATCTGATTTTTTGATATATATGACTATAATCTTGATCTAATTAAAGATATTTATCAATTAATAAAATATTTAATTTCCTTATATGATAATTAATTAAATTATTTTATTTTAATTGGTAAATTGTTTTGCAAGAAATCATTAAATAAATCAAATATGGATACTTATGTTAATCTGAATTATTTGTTATTTGATCCTCTATGTTTTAAATATTTAAAACTTGCCCTCAAGTTTTGAAATTTATATTTTGTGATTAAAAGTTTAATTTTAGGAAAATTTAAATTTCAAACCCTAGAATTTTACAAGTTTAAAATTCAACCCTATACTAATATAATATTACAAGACTAATATATATATATATATATATATATATATATATATATATATATATATATATATATGATTAAAATGCTAGTCTTACCGTTAGTAGGCCTCATTCACGAAGCCGATCTATAAGGTGGGTATAAGGTTGCTGCCTATAAAATGACGCTTAATGGGTGAACACTCTCACCCACCGCTTACTTGATTGGTGGAGGGTCGTTAGGGTAGGATAGGGCAACTCTCTCTCCTCATTAATAAGTATAATGAATCTATAAAGTAACTACATGTTTTCAAAATTTCCCAATCTTAGTTACTTTAGGAAAAGTGAATGCAATCCCATGAAATTACACTTTGCACCATTGCTAAGAAGTTAGTGGAGCGTGTGTGGTTTACCGGCACACTAATTGGTTCTAAGCAAAGGTGGCAAAGGGTGATTCATTGTTTATCATAGTTCAATGGAGCGTGTGTGGTTTACCGGGACGTCAAATAGGTGATTGTTACAATGAAGGCACCATGTGAATTTGCATGGTAATTCACACCCACTTTGTGATCCTCGGTATCCCAGTCACAAACAAGAGGGGCATATCGAGATTTAAACATGCCATTGAAAAGTTTCAATGTATCTCATCTAAACCTAGGAATTCTCAATACATTTAGACTTAAAGTTATGTTTTATGGTGGAGTATTAGTGAATCGTCATTCACTTACCTTCAAAATGTTTGCATGTTAGATTACGGTATCCCTTTTCTAATGTGTAAATATTGTTGTTGGATCCTAGCCCCAATTTTTCTTATTGGGTAAGTATTAGGGATTCAAATTCTAATCTATCTTTGTCCTTTCTATTTATAGATGTCGAACGCAAACCACGCTGCTGCTAGTTCATTCACAATGATGAGCCTTTGTCAAAAGGTCACTTTCGATGGGACAAACTTTAGTGAATGGATAAGATACATTCGCACGATTGCTCATTATGAAGACAAGGAGTATGTCCTCGATGAGAAGCTCGAGAAGATCAATCCAGAAATCGTTACTCCGGCTGAAATCACCGCTTTTGAAACTCATGAGCATGATGCAACGAAGGTACATTGCATCATGATAGCCACCATGAACTCCGAATTCAGAAAGTCCTATGAGGACATGTACCCGTAGGTGATGCACCAAGACTTGTTGGAGCGATACCACCAAAACGCGAGACAAGAGCGTTATGAGATTTTCACTAACATGATTTCCGCTAAGATGGGTCATGGAGAGTCTCTTACCGTGCACCTGCAAAAGATGCATAGGTATGTAGACCGTCTTCGCAAGTTGAATGTTGACTTTGGGGAAGACTTGGCGATCGACATGGGGCTTCACTCTTTGCCTCCAAGTTACAATCAATTTAGGATGACCTACCACATGAACAAAGAAGAGGTCACCCTAAGCAAGCTCCAAGGTCTCTTGAGGGTTGCTGAGAGCAACTTCAAGGACAAGTCTGTTGCACCAACTCCCAATCCACCGCATGCTCCTGTTTTGACCATTGAGCAAGGAAGGGGAAAGAAGAGGAAGGCTTAGTCTAAGAACCATCGCAAGGTTAAGCCCCGAGATGGTGCCTCTTCTAGTGGGACCAAAGTTGATCCTGCCAAACCCTGTCCTAACCCTAAGGAGGCAGACTGCCATCATTGCCATAAAATAGGGCATTGGAAGAGAAGCTGCTGTCACACCCCAAAACCGAGAACGGCGGAAACGTTCTGGGGCGGAGGACGTCATGTAATGTATCACAACAATGCAAAGTAGTAAACAAGCAATAACATCATCCATTGCTTTAATAGTATAATTTTAATTACATTTGAGTTCTTTCATAGTATAATTCTACAAAATGAATATTCAAAAATAAAAGACGAGTCTTGATTGCTCCGTCTTCACAGAACCTGGTAGTCATACCTGTCTATCCGTATCCTGGGAATACAAGTTATTTTGAAAGCGAGTATCAGCAATAAAGCTGGTGAATTCATAAGTATTTATGTGACTTTGATTTGTAAAGCTGTAATTGAAAGACCTGTAAATGTTTTCGAAGGAAAGTTTGTACCAATGAACATGTTTGTAAATATCTGTAAACGTTTGAAAAACTCTAGAAAATCCCATATTTTCTACTAGTGTAAAATGTAGCCTTCTACCAAGACCCGACTGTTTTGAATGTTTGCTTCAGAAATCCAATATTTGTTTGTAAGTGAGTGGTAGTTTAAAAGTCCCAAAATGAACTACCATGATGTTTTTCATGTCATAAAATAGTAGATTTGTGTACAATTATAATCGCTAAGATATATGAAAACTCCGTAAATCAACGTGTTTTTAATACTCCATGTGAGTTTTATAACCATACTATTGACACTGATGGCCTGTAACAACGTTCTTCAGGCATTGGAATGTTATGACATTTGTCACCCCAGACCTGCCGGTCTAACTGTAGCTAACAGTTTAGGTGCAGGCTTGTCAATCCCGTATAGATCTATACACAAGTATCACGCTCCCCCTCCAAGGGATTATGGTATATAATACAGGACTTAAAATTCATACATAAATGTACGTTGAAGTTTGAATATCTCACAACTTAGTATAAAACAGATTTGCGTATGAAAATGTCCATTTGTTTTTATATGAAAATACCTTCTTGATATGGCACTTATAGTATATAAAATGTTACGAATATCTAGTATACTATCTCATGAAATTGTATTCCTTGAAATGGTATGTCTCGAAGTTGTATGCTTTTGTAATTGTATGTCCTAAGATTGTATGTCTTTTAATTGTATATGATTGTATCTCTTCGCATAGTATGTAATGTATTTGTATAGACTCATGAATAGATTGAATCTTGTATGAATCCTGGTACTTGGAATGGTAAATAGTATATCTTAACTATACCTATTATAGTTACTAGTAGTGTGTGTGTATCATCGAAATATGCCTTTGTTACCCAAAGGTATTCAACCAACTGAATAGAAAAGTTTTATGTCTATATCTGTATACATGAGATATATATATATATATATATATATATATATATACATATATATAACCATGCGTGTTTAGGTGTGCATTTGACAAATAAAATATAAAAGAAGTTTTGTATAACTTTTGAGAAGTTTAATAAATAATAAGAAGTGGTGACTTGATGTCAGTTTATAAAACGGTTTGAAAGTAGTTTGTTTGACA